CCCTTCCTCTCTGAAATCAAGCTTTTTAAATAGGTGTTTTTTTTCCTGGCACTTAGCAGAATTTAAAAATATCTGTGTGGCAAGGGTTTGGAGAAATGGACTCTCCTCACTGCTGGTGGAACTACATATTGGTATGCTCTTTTGGGGATAATTTGAATATATGTATCAAAAGCCTTTTTAAAAATCCCTTTTTACTTAGCAATACATTTTTTCTGGAAATGCACTTAGAAAAATAACTAGGGATGTGGGTAATATTTGGCTGTTAGGGGATTTGTCAGGTGTGGTTTTTTATAAAATATATATTTTTATTGATTTTAGAGAGGGAGAAACAACAATGATGAGAGAGAATCATTGACTGGCTGCCTCGTGCACGCCCCACTCGGGATCAAGCCCACAACCTGGGCATGTGTCCTGACCGGGAATCAAACTATAACCTCCTGGTTCATAGGTCAACACTCAACTACTGAGCCACGCTGGCCGGGCCATCATAGTATTTTATAATAGTAAAATATTGGAAGCAATCTAAACAGCTTACAATTGCATTTTTGTTTTAAAAAGATTATGGTTTATTTATACAGTGAATGCTACTCAGCTATTAAGAATGATTTTGTCAATAAATTTTTAATGAGGTAGCAAAATATTTATGAGATAATATTACGTTTGAAATACAGGAACAGCAGTTATTTTTGGTGGTGGAATTTTTCCTCCATTAAAAAATATTTTCAGTGGGCATGTATTTATAATTAAGAAATAATTATTGGGAATCATTATAGAATAAATCCATGATATATTCTCTACTTGTCTCTACTTTTTCATACACAGCACTCCTAAAAGTCTCTCAGAGTACATCCTTACATACTTCTATATAAGGAGTTCCTGTTCATCTTTTAAAGTCAGTTCAAATGACACCACCATGAAGTCTTTCCTAAGCACTTTGTTTTCTCTGCTAATTCCACACAATTATCTTGTATAATTATTTAAATGTACTTATAATGTCTTTTCCACCAGGCAGTGAACTCCTATCTCATTCATTCATTTAATAAATATTTGTGAGTGTTTATTATGTGCCTGGCACAAGTGTGTTAGGTACTGCAGATCTATCCATGAACCATGCAGACAAGTTCCCCCTGCCTTCAAGAAGATAGCATGACGAAGTACATTGAAATATTAAGCTGTGTAATAGAAGTGTAGAATGCTTAGAAGATCCATAAACTTATCCCAGGCTGGATGGAGAGGGAAGGCTTCGTGGAGGGGATAATAGCTGAATAGTAGCAAGAAAACAAAGGTTAGCCAGGTGAAGAGTAGAAGGAGGTAGTTTCAGGTAGCAGAACAGCCCAAACAAAGGCCTGAAATTTTAAAACCATGTTAAGTTTCAGGAAGGTTATTGTGGTTGTGGATATTGAGGTTGATTTCTGATAGAAAATAATTATATATAATTTTATCTTGAAAGAAGCTCCAGAATTCATACCTTCTGCGAGAGTTTAGTAAGTTTTATGAAAAAGCATACGTTAGAGCAGTGATGGCAGACCTTTTGAGCTCGGTGTGTCAGCATTTTGAAAACCCCTAACTTAACTCTGGTGCTGTGTCACATACAGAAAATTTTTGATATTTGCAACCATAGTAAAACAAAGACATATTCTTGATATTTATTTTATATATTTAAATGCCATTTAACAAAGAAAAATCAACCAAAAAATGAGTTTGCGTGTCACCTCTGACACATGTGTCATAGGTTTGCCATCACTGTGTTGGAGGAAGCATCCCAGTGTTGAATTAGGCAGAAATTCAAGTGTGATTGGTATATTTGTTATTTTTTAAGTATTTGTATAAAAAATATTCTCACTAAGGATTAAAAAATTAGTGTGAAATAATTAAAAGTTTGAATTGAAAAGAGTATTTTAATTCTCTATCTTGTAATCTTTTTTTTTAACTGTTTTATTGCTTAAACTATAACAAAGAGTATTACATATGTCTCCTTTTTTTCCTGCCTATCTTGTAATCTTGACAGGTCCTAATAAAATGGTGCGAGGCGAGCTTATTTAGAGAATGCCTTTGAATTAATAGATGAAAATGATAGCATTTTAATAGCAATTTTTGCATATGCATGTGTTCTGAAAAGAAAGAAATGTTACTTGTAGTAGAGTAAAAATTTCTCATAATTTTTAACCCTTTACGTTTAACATGTCTTCCTTGGAAATTGTCTTCAAAAATCTCTTCTGTCTCCTATTAAATTGTTTTTCACCATTTGTGTTTCCTATACAGATTTTAAAGTTCTTTTTTCTCTTTACAACTGTACTCCAAACACCTATTCCTATTTCCATTTCCAAATAAAAATCAACATTGTAGCCCTAACCGGTTTGGCTCAGTGGACAGAGCGTCGGCCTGTGGATGGAAGGGTCCCAGGTTCGATTCCGATCAAGGGCATGTACCTTGGTTGCGGGCACATCCCCAGTAGGAGGTGTACAGGAGGCAGCTGATCGATGTTTCTCTCTCATCGATGTTTCTAACTCTCTATCCCTCTCCCTTCCTCTCTGTAAAAAAATCAATAAAATATATTTTAACAAAAATCAACACTGTAAAGCCAATGGATAAAATTGCAATGTGGCCCTCATTAAATCAGTTTCTTTCTCTGTGATTATGTGAATGATATTTACTATTTGTTGTATATCAGAATGATTGGGCTTATACAGTGTTTGTAGGCCTTTTTTGTTTTCTTGATTAGGTAATATGGTTTCTCAAGATTTCTTAAATAAGAGATTAAATAAACCAGTTTTTCTTTTCTGCTTTGTAGATTTCTTGATAACCGGCTGTTTGCTACCTGCTCTGATGACACTACAATAGCACTATGGGATCTGAGGAAATTGAACACCAAAGTATGCACTTTACATGGTCACACTAGCTGGGTGAAGAACATCGAATATGATACTAATACAAGACTCTTAGTAACATCAGGATTTGATGGAAATGTCATTATTTGGGACACCAACAGGTTTGTGAATAGGAGATCATTTTAGGATTTTTTAAAGATGGTAAACAAATTCAGTGTTCTGTCTCAGCTATTATATCTCTTTAGGAGAAAGAAACTGGTTTTGTTGGGGGGCGGGGATCAAAAAGTGATTCTATCTTTTGTTGCTTGCACATAGAGAAATTTCTATGGAAAGGAGACCAAGTAGCATAGTTAATTATGAAAAAATGGTTTATAAAATAAGTTTCCTGAACTGGTGTTTTTTACTCTTTTGTCCTTCAATTCTATTTTTTTTCCACTTTTCCCCCACTTTTTTTTTAATCCTTACCTGAGGATGTTTTTCCATTGATTTTTAGAGCAAGTGGAAGAGAGAGGGAAAGACAAAGAGAGCTGAAGCCGGTTTGGCTCAGTGGATGGAGCATCGGCCTGTGGACTGGGGGGGTCCCGGGTTCGATCCCCCAGTGGAGGATGTGCAGGAGGCAGCTGATCGATATTTCTAACTCTCTATCCCTCTCCCTTCCTCTCTGCAAAAAATCAATAAAATATATTTTAAAAAAAGACAAAGAGAAACATCGATGTGAGAGAGACACAATGATTGGTTGCCTCCTGCACATGCCTCTGGGTCAGGGAGGAGATTGCAACAGAGGTACATGCCCTTGACTGGAGTCGAACCTAGAACCCTTCTGTCTGCAGGCTGACACTTTATCCACTGAGCCAAACCAGCTGTCCTTCAATTCTAAATCTGTTTTTATTTGGCCATTTGTGCACTTCATCTTCATCATTCAAAGAGTAGTTAGTCTCTCTATTGGGGTGGTACTGATCCCTAGGAGAATGTTTGGAAATAATGTGTGGTACAATTTTAGTTGTCACTATGGAAGAAGAGAAGAGGAGTTCCACTGGCATTTACTTAGCCAGGAATAAGAGTTTCTAAACATCCTGTAGTACATGGGAGAGTTTGCATAATGGACTAATTGTGCAATGTCACCTAAAATGTCAGTGATGCCTGTTTTGAAACACTAATAAAATGTCTCCTTATAGAGAAATTGATTATTTAAAGAGTTGAGATCTGAGAAATAATTAAATATGTCTGTTGCTAGCTATGGTGAAATAACAATATAGTAATACACCAGGATCATTTCTGAAATACTCTTTCAGAGGTAATGTATAAAAAGAAAAGGGATATTCTTAAAGATTTCTAGCTATGCATGTTGCTTGAGCAGGGGATAGAGCTACATACTGATTATCTTTTTTATTTTCTTAAAGGTTTTTTATTTTTATTGTTATTTTGTTATTGATTTCAGAGAGGAAGGGAGAGGGAGAGAGATAAAAACATCAGTGATGAGAGAGAATCATTGATTGGCTGCTTCCTGCATGCCCCCTATTGGGGATTGAGCCCACAACCCGGGCATGTGCCCTTGACCAGAATAGAACCCAGGACCCTTCGGTCTGTGGGCTGACACTCTATCCACTGAGCAAACCCAGCTAAGGC